ACTCTTAACGTTAGTTTGATTTTTGAGCGGGACACTAACAATGGGTAACTATGTATTGGATACGTAGATTCGGACTACGCTGGAGATTTAGATAAACGTCGGTTGATGACAGGGTATTTGTTCATTTTAACCCGTGTGCCGGTGTGTTGGAGATGCACCTTCCAGTCTGCGGTGACTTTATCAACGATGGAGGCAGAGTATATGGCGATTACAGAGACTGTTAAGGAGGTGATTTGGCTTCAAGGACTTTTGGAGGATCTTGGTGTTTTGCAATGATCCGTCGTCATTTATTGTGATAGCATGAGTGCTATTTATTTGGTGAAGAATCAGGCCTTTCATGCGAGGATGAAGCATATCAACGTTTATTATCACTTCGTTCGAGATGTTCTTGAAGATGAGGATGTGGAGCTCGTGAAGGTCCATACAAAAGATAATACAACAGATATGCTCACAAAGGTAGTCACGAGCAACAAGTTTGATCATTGTAGAAACTTGTTGTAAATTCATGATTGTTGAGGCCGTTTGCGGCTATTTGGATGAACTACGGGTGACTTAATCTCTTGGGAGAGAGGGTACGTAGGCAACCACATTGGTGCAACCATATTTGGCAAAATGACGCATTGCTACTCATGTTGGTGTCAGTTTAGTTTTGGGAACACTTCACTGAGGTGTGGAATTATAGAAAATAGCAAAGGATTTGAGAAAATTGTGCAAACACACGAGTACAGTAAATCCCTCGGGTCGGTCGACCGACGACATAGGCCTGATCGACCATCAGATTGCTGAATTACAGGATTTAAAACCCTACTCTGGTCAGTTGACCAAACGGGTATGGCCGGTCGACCAAAAATGTGCATGTTACAGGGCTGATTTTTTAGCTCTCTGGTCGGTCGACCGATCACATGTGTGTAGGGGTGTGCAATGGTCGGTTCGGTTCGGTTTTTACCAAAATTTGAACAACCGAACCGAACCACCTATAATTCAAAATCGAACCGAACTGTTACAAGTCGGTTCGGTTCGGTTTGTTCGGTTCTAACTTCATCAAAATTCTTATCAAATAACAAACTGTGTTAAAAATATATATATATCAACAAAGTAGGAGATTATGAAGCATTAAACACTGATATAATGATATTGATTTCAACCCATAATGATTCAGAAAATGAGTTTAGGGTTTGAGTTTTTGACTATTTATGGACAGGTCGGGTAGTGTTTGAGATCAAAATGGGTAGTATTGCACTATATTCGGTCGGTTCGGATCGGTTCGGGTTGAAAATTTTTCAAACCGACCCGAACCATCCTACTCATAAAACCGATTTTTTCGGGTCGGTTCGGATCGGTTCGATCAGTTTTTTCGGTTTGGACCGAACCATGCTCAGCCCTACATGTGTGCGATCGACCGACAAGCGGTTATGAGTCTGTTTTGTTTTCCTGATCTGTTTTGGATTGGGTTTTGATATAAATAGAAACACATGTTTCTAGGGTTTTAGGAGAGCGTTTGAACCAGAGAATTGTGAGTCTTTTGAGCGCTTTGAGAGAGACATATTATGAGGGAGTTAAGAGATTTGGTTAGGGTTATATTTGAGTGATTTTGTGAGTTATACCACATTGTATTTCTCCTACATATAGTGAAATCTCCCAATCCTCTCCTCGTGGACGTAGGCAATTGCCGAACCATGTAAATCTCTGTATTTAGTTTGATTTGTGTTGTATTTTGGTGATTAATTTGTACTCGTATTTGTAGGCGTCAAAAAATGCTAATAGATATCCCAGACATAGAGAAAATCACTCAAAGGGACTGTAGGGTGAAAATTTGATTCTTCCGAAGAAAGGAGTTTCGTTTGTATTTATAAGAAGGCTTATTACAAACTAACAAATCAAATGTTTACAACAGAAGCAGAGGGAAGGCCCTCTTTGTTTTGTGTGGGGACTTTAGGTGGCTATAGGACGCTTCGCTCGATGGTCGGGTCGAGTCTGCTTCCCTTGGACCGTTTGAATGAGGTTGCTGGAGAGCTTCAGTTCGCAGTAGAAGCTCGGGGCAATGGAGTTCGGGTCTGCTTGGTTCGTCGGCGATCGGAGCTCGGAACTAGGCAGCAGTGCTGTAATGCAAGGATTTGCTAACAGCTTGGTCTCAACTCTTTTTTCTCCAAGTTTTGCGACCTCTCTTCCATCGTGCTGGAAGGGGTTTTTAAATGAAAGAAGGACAGCTTGACTTCTCCTTGAATTGTGGGATGTGACCACATCCTCTTCAGAGACGTCTCGCCGTTCCTCGATACCATGAACGGTCATTCCAGGGATTGTGTTCTATGTCCTGTCACCTACGATGGGAAGGCCCATTCTTGTATGTGAGGCAACAAACGACTGCTATCCGAGTGGATTTGACCAGCATTAATGAACCGCATTTATGAGTTCGCAGATCGATGAAGTGTCTGTCCGATCACTTGTACTGTGCGTGACCGCCCGGCGTGCTTTGAGCACGACGCTTTCTCCTTTCCGGTCAGGAGAGGCGGTGAAGTAGGTGTACAGTACTCGAGTGGGTCTAGCCAGCTTGCCGAGTGCCGGCGGATCCAGCTCTTGGCTCAGACATCCGAGGTGAGTCGCATTTATGAATGCTCAGGTTGACTCGACACCTGTCCAGTCCCTTCGCGCTGTGCGCACTGCGAGCGGCCGTTTGACGGTCCTGGGGTACTGTGCTCTCTCTCCCTTCGGGTCGAGAGAGATGGGAAGGTCCATCTCAGCACGTGGGGTAGTGGATACCCAGCTGTACTGACGGTTTTGGGGCTTGCTGGCGGATTCGACTCCGAACTCGGGCAGGCGAGTTGAGCGAAGAGCGAATTTCCGCCATCCTGATCGACCCTGACTCATGCTGGCGAGTCGACCGTTAGGCGAACCTGGACTTGAGTACAGTCGACGTCTACGCGGTTTAGGTCCGTGCCAGAGAACTGGGCGTGCGAACTCTTCTCGTAGGCAAATTTCCTGTAGACCCATAGAGGTATTTTTTACCGTCTACAAGACCCCCTTCAAAGTTTTCAGACCTGAACTGGCTTGCGTGTGGTCTGGAATACTTTGAATGAAGAAATTGTTGGCGAAGCAAGTGCCTTCGATTTCTCTTAGGATTTTTAGCAAATCCTCAGCTATCAACGGGTTTGATGTGCCTTTACCGATTACCGTTTGAATCGGGCTAGCCATACTATTCTCCTCAGTATGATGAGTTGTCGAACAGTTTCTCTTAGGCTTAATGCTAAGATTTCTGCTCTAACCCTTAGCCATCTGGGGCGTGGGTTTCAACCGTTTAAGCAAGGTCATTCTTTTGGCTTTGTTCGTAATTTTACCTTTGAGGGCGAATGCATCGTCAAGGCGAAATTAGTTTTTGAGAGCCAATTTTCGCGCGACTCGTGGGGTTATGCCCAGTATTTGCAGGCGAAACCCTTCCTTTTGTAGGCGGAACCGGATCTGACGGGAGATGAGCCACGTGTCTGCTGATAGAGCCTCGTGCTTCCCAGCTAAGACATTGGATCGTGGCGATCGTGACTTGACAGCACGATCTTCATGCGTTTCGCCCTGCGACGTATCGTGGCCGTGGTTCTCGGACTCAACCGTCGGATTCAACCGCCAATCTCGGTCCCTTCGATGCACTGAGGGTGATCTGGGCCGTCGAATTTGATCGTGGCCCCGTTTCCTGTCCGTTAGGGTTTTCGCCTTTCGAGGGCAGTCGTGGCCACGTGGACAACTCCGCCCTTCTAAATCAGCCGTTTTCCTCCATTGGGAGTTACCGTGCTTTCAAATCTTGAAAGGGAACATCCAAGGAAAGAATTCCCGCTTCCTCTTACAATGGCTCCGAAATCTAAGAGGTGTAAAGTGAGGGGTGCAGGCCCCGGACGTTACTCCGACCGTCTCTCTGCCGGCATGCCTGCCGGTGCTATGGAGTCGCGCCCAGGTACGTTGATGGGTTTGCTGGACGATCTCTTGTAGGTCTTAGGCGTCGGATTTGGGGAGATGAGCGTTGCTCGTTAAGCTTGGTAGCCTTCCCGATTTGGGGCAAAGCTTGCCCTGTTTGCCCTTAGAAGACGATTACCGTCTCCGCGGGCGAGCCCTTCAGCGGGAAGGAGGCGAACTCCCTTTTTGTAAGGCGAGTCCGGCCCTTTCCTGTTAGAGGGACGTCTAGTCTGTAGGGGCAGACTTTATTCGAAGTGGGTTCCTCTTTGCGATTTCGCCCTCCTCTGTTTGATGGGTGATTTTACCCCTACAGCGGATTTTGTCTTGATTGACCTTCTTCTTTTCTTTTTCTTGCAGCGACCTTTTCCGATGAGGCTTTTCCAGAGGGTGTGGCCGTCGGCCACGTCGGGGCTACGAGCTACGCAGCACCTTCTCGGTTTCCCTCTTTGGCTCCAGTACCCGTGTTCACCGCTGATAAGCCGCATGGTCTGATACAGAGGGTCTCGGATGGTCATCATTTGACCCTACGCGAGCTGACAACCAATGCGGCGCTGACAGATGAGGCGAGGGCAGAGCTGCCGAAACCTCAATTTTTGTTTGGCGACTCCATGACCGACCCTTCCGCCCTGCTGCTCAAAGAGAGCCGGTGGTACCGCACGGTAGAGGGGACCCATTACTACCTCCCCAGCATGTCGAGAGGGTTTTCGATTGTTGAGCTGCGGTCCCTCGCGATCCCTCGGACGATGAACTGGGATTTGACCCCCACTCAGGACGGGGTCACTTGTGGCGTCTTTACGGGCTCTACGGCTGGGTACGGAGTGGAGAGTTCGTGCAAGCATGTGACGGGTCTGCGCCCTGGCTTAATGTTCACTGAACCGCCCGTGGGGGAGTCGACAGCGGTGGCGGAGACCTTCCGTCACCGCTTCTTCCGAGTCGGTGGAAGCTTTCCCCCGAAGGACTTTAGAGCCCCGGGGTGGGTTTACTCTGCACCTGGCAGCGACACGTGGTGGTCCAAGATTACCGACTATGTTTTGGCCGAGAATGCTGACCTCAAGGGCACAGAGCTATATGTGGCCCTCGAAGCCACTCGACATGGCCTGCGGATCAACGCTTCTCAATTCCATAGCATTCTGGAATTGTATTGTGCGGAAAGCGGCACATTTTTCACCCCCAACGGTGAACTTGGTATCACCCCCTTCGAGATGCACGACGTGTCAGGGCTACCTCTGGGAGACTTCCCTTATGAGGAATACAGAATGCTGACCTCAAGGGCACAGAGCTATATGTGGCCCTCGAAGCCACTCGACATGGCCTGCGGATCAACGCTTCTCAATTCCATAGCATTCTGGAATTGTATTGTGCGGAAAGCGGCACATTTTTCACCCCCAATGGTGAACTTGGTATCACCCCCTTCGAGATGCACGACGTGTCAGGGATACCTCTGGGAGACTTCCCTTATGAGGAATACGTCCCTGATCAAGCTTAGATCGATCAGCTGTCAGACAATTCCCCTCTGGCGGTTGAAACTCTGTGGGAGTTACTCTGTCACTTCC